GTGTTATTGCCTAGGTTAATTATTCGTCCTAAAATTCTCCTTCCCTCCCCTTTACTACTGGACAAACTAGGTTGTTCAAGCAAAACTAAACTGCAGAGCCTCCTTCAATCCTTTCTGTCTGCTTTATACGTGCCTATAGTTTAGCAAAGACTATGGTCATAATAGTTACTTGCATATTCCTCTACCTATTCCCTGGGCCCTAAAACCTACTTGAGGGCAGGACAGTGACATTTGTCTTTTTATCCCCCATCCCTGAACCCTCTCCCACACAACAAGAATAGAGACTGGTTTAGCGTAGACTTTCAGTAAATGTTCTACTTCCCTATTTTGAATTATATCGTCATAAAAAAAGTAGTGTTCCCTCTCTGCTTTCTCTAGTAAAAGTAGTTTAAGAGGTCAAATCTGCCAGTTTTTAAAAAGAGTGAAAAAAAAAATCCAGGGATGTAACTGCATTGCCTTTAGCTAGAGGTGGTATGAGGATATACTCTTTATGGTTGCCAATGACTTCATATTTTGTAACTCTTCAGCTGTCCCGGCATATTACTTGCAGAAAGCATTACAGAGGTAGGCATTGAATCCCATATCTGTCAGGCGGTCACACAAACAAGCACAACTTCTAGATGAATTTGTGACTCTTAAAAATATAAATATAGTGCAGGGACTCTAGCTCCTAAAAAAGAATGCAAAGACTACAATTTTAGTAACATCCTCTGGACAAGCATAAAAGATGAACTTAGTCACGTTTGCCAGCTTCCGTGATGAATAAAGCATTGTCAAAGCAGAGGGATTACCTGTAAATTAAAATAATGCTGATGGGGAATAACCAGAACTTGTTTTTATTTTATTTATTTTATTTTTTGAGACAGGGTCAGCTCCATTGCCCAGGCTGGAGTGCAGCGGAGCAATCAGAGCTCACTGCAACCTCCGCCTCCTAGGCTCCAGGGATCCTCCCACCTCAGCCTCCAAAGCAGCTGGGACTGCAGCCACAGTGGACTGATTTTTCCATTTTTTGTGGAGGCAGAGTTTTGCCATGTTGCCCAAGCTAGTCTGGAAATTTTGGGCTCAAGTGATCAGTCCACCTCAGCACTTATTTTAAGTTGTTTAAAAATAGTTCCTAAAGCAACAAGTTGTTTAAAATTTTGGTTGGTCTCTTATTTCATCTCTTTGAGTCAGAATAATAGGGCATACTAATTTGACTAATTCTACTATCACTGAGCAATATGAACTATTTTCACACATAGCTTTAAAATAATTCTTGCAGACCCGGCGCGGTGGCTCACACCTGTAATCCCAGTACTTTGGGAGTTCAAGGAGGGTAGATCATGAGGTCAGAAGTTCAAGAACAGCCTGGCCAAAATGGTGAAACCCCCGCTTCTACTAAAAATACAAAAATTAGCTGGACATGGTGGTGGGTACCTGTAATCCCAGCTACTCAGGAGGCTGATGAAGAGAACTGCTTGAACCTGGAAGGCAGAGGTTGCAGTGAGCCAAGATCACATCACTGCACTCTAGCCTGGGTGACAGAGCATGACTCTGTTTCCAAAAAAGAAGAAGAATTGTTGCAATAAGTAATGAGAAAATGGGAAGAATCATGTACAAGGTTGAGACATAGAAGTGGGAAGCTGGGTCAGCACTGGAAAAACCCCTAAATGCTGCTGTCATTTACATATTCTAGCATCTGACCAATTCCTCTCTTTGTGGCCCTCATTTAAAAAACACACTCTGGGAGAGAAGTACTTTATAAAACTAATTCACACTAAATACCACAGACATATAAGATCTCTTTTCCATATGAAATCAGGACTCTTGAGGTTAGTGCACGCCTGAGAACAGAGGGCAGGGAGAAAGACCCAGTAAGTTATAGTTAAAATATTTCTGGTTTTATTTTGTTTTGTTTTGTGTTTTCTTTTTGTTTTTTTAGACAAACAAGGGACATATTGGAGCCTATACTTATACTCTTCACTGAAATGGCCTGGGATGATCTCCTTTTAGATGTCACATGGACAGGTCACTGTTTAAGGAATGTAGTCGACTTCCAATCCACTGGACATTACATTTGGAGTGATCTAGCTTCATCTGCTTTCATCCTCTTCTTTGTTGGGCTATGGGGCTGTTAAAAATTTAGGCTTACGGCCCTTTCCCTTTAAACCCATGGAGGGTGAATATTAGCTACAGAGTAGTCAAAACTCTTTTTCTGAATTAATTATATGTTTCTGTTTAATATTTTATGTCTGTTGCTTAACATCATGCCTAATACACAAAATGAAGAAGGTACTTGTGAAATAATCAGTGATAGATGGTTGGAAGGATATGTAGGAGGGAAAGCTTATAAGAAGTTTTGTTGTTTTCTTCCTATGTCAGACAGATCACTACTATAGGAACTCTTTCTATACTCCCCAGTTATCTGCAAGAATCAAACTAAAAATATAGTTAATGCCTTGATTCATAAATATCTCTAATCAGATATTTTGGTCAGATTTGTAACATCTACTTAATTGTTAATTGACAACATCTCGTAACACAAGTGCCATGTCTTGCACCGTTTTGAAAAGCAAAGCTGAACTGAGTACTAGGACAGATTCCTAAAGTGTCAAGGCTCTAGAGAGAAAGTAAAATAAAGGTAGTCCAGGCTGAACAGCCGTTTATGGAAGTATAGTCAATCTTAGATCCTCTAGTACATTCATTATAACAGAATTCTGAAATGTGTAGGTCAAGTGACCGATCCTCTTGGTTTACATAGGGGATGGAGGAAGTATAAAACTGAGTACAGTCCAAAAAAAAGAAGCAATTGGTGACTTATTTTTATAGCAATAATATTTTTGTTTAAATATAGATAAAAAATAGAAACTACCAAAAAAAAATTTCCACAATAGCAAGTAGACAGTCAGGGTTAAATTATTTAAACTTGATTTTTTTGTGTGTGTGGGTACTATATCACATTTTCAAATAGGTGGGGCTTCCCCTGATATTTTGTCAAGAACCATCAACAGTATTTTTAGCAACATTCGTTTTATATTTAATCTGGTAGCAGATGTCTGGGTGGCAAATTGAAATTTCAAGAATAAGAAATTAAAAAAATAATCCAGTAAGAGAAAAACATTGAGAATATTAAAATATCTAATATAAATTGTCTACTTAGCTCCTTTCTTCCTTCCTCCTTTCTTTACTTTTTCTCTTCTTTTCTGTGTTCTATTTGCTTTTATCTTTTCTGTTCTTCCTTTTTTTCCAGTTAGATAGTATTCTGGACACAAAGAATAAGGCCAAATATTTTATGAACCCCAAACATAATTAAATAAATCATAGATTAAATGGTAGATTATTTTATGCTTCAGATATCTTCATTTAACAGACCATTTAATGGATCAATTTAGAGGATTATATCAAATCTAAAAAAACACACTTACATTAGCTACTTTCTTATAAAAAAGTTTGTACTCCGAAAAGTTTTCACTGCTTCCTATTTTGCCTGACAGTCCTTTCTAATTTCCGCTGTTATAAATCAATTTAGATTTATTCGCTTTGTACAAAAGAACTCCTGTAAGTTTTTAATAATAATTATCATTATCACTGATTAAAGTTATATTGTTCAGGCCAGATGGAGGCCTTTTCCTGTCAGCTACAATGAGCTTGCATTATGTTGTTATAATGTGTTTGGCTCTAAATAAACAGATGGCAGAGTGACAGGATATTATATACTGGTGATGTCAGCGGCAGTACTTCACAAACAGCATTGCTTTAAATAAACTCTGTTGTAGCAAAGATCCCTGTACTTTTAAGAAGATGACTTGAATTGAACCTAAGTATTGTATTAATTTGGAAATAGTACGGTTTACTTCCTCAAAGGTAGACCCTCTGAATGGTCTGAGGTTCAGCCAGAGAAAGTGTCTGTTGAATCATTATGTTAACCATGTATGCATTCAACAGTATAACCCCACTTAGGCAGTTTCACTAGAGTCAGGAAAACACTCCAGGCTGTAAGAACTTTCTGGTTGAGGAATTAAAAACTTAAAGAAAGATGGGAACATCTTGATCAGACAGTATTTGATAATATTTATAATATAGTTAACTTTGCTAAACACTTTGAATGGGAGTAGCCTATTAACAATTAATATTAGACAATTGATAAGGTTTAATAAGAAGCATTTTAGGAAATGTCATAGAAAGCATGTTTATGGAAAAATTTTACTCTTTAATAGATTTTTAACATCTGTTTTTATTCTAAAAATGAGTCATGTGCCCGCAGAAATTTAGATGAACCTATGAAATTCAGAAATAAGATTCAAAGGAAGTCATTTTACATGATTTCTTCTAGCCAATATTCTTTATTTTGAGTCCCAATGGGAATTTCTCTGTAGGACAACTATGTTTGTTGAGGCAAATACGTGTGGTAGAAGAAGATGCCGCTATAGGAGATTAAGGCTTATATTTGAAAATGTAAATCGTGTTAATAAACATTTTAGAAGTATATATTAAATAATTAAAATTAAGCTTTCAAAAATATAGCTTAAATGCATAATTTTATTATTTATTCTGATAACTTTTCATGGGTTTATAAGAATATGTTCTTGTTCTCATAGATTTCAACTTATTTTTAACTATTGCTTTGCTTTTTCACATGTTGCTTTAGGTAAGATGTGATCTCTGGAAGTTATATCAAGTAGAATAGATCAAGAGAATAATAATGCTCAATAGTCAAAGTGTAACTTATTTAATATAATTATTTGCTTTTGATTTTCTGAGAAAATTCACAAATTCATTTATTTTAATTTTCTATAAAATAATAAGATGATTTGAATACCAGGAGATTGTACTTTCTTTTCACATATATTTGACATTCAGGTTTTCCTACTTAAGTGGCATTTTATGGGCTATGTTTCCACTCTAGTATGACATAAAAATCCTCGTAAAGGAGCAGGAGTATTTCCTTTGAGGAGTTACTCCTAGTCAAGGAGTGAAAGATTATAACATGAATGTCCTTTTTCCCTTTTCCTGTTCTGCAGGTGGACGTTGCCATAAGTCCTGTACTGGCCGTTGCTGGGGACCCACAGAAAATCATTGCCAGACTTGTAAGTGTTCATCAATGAGAGCACACAAGTTTGATGTGGTCAAGGAATTTTAAGGATTTGTACATTTCATGCCTCTGGTCATCTAAAACATAAAATGAGCTATTGCCTCCTTGTGGTTGATTTGCTTTGGTCCACGAAAACTTCCCAATTTCATTGCTTTCACATGGAAATTAAGATATAATTGATTCTTAGGTTTCTTTGTGGTTTCTAGGTTAATGATCGCAACAGCACAGCTGTGGTGATATTAACTATATCTAAGAGTTTTTACATCGGTAGAAATGGGAAACCCAATGTTTATAAAATAGTAACCCAATTTCAGGTTAACTGGGTCTCTCAGTCCATTCACCGACTAGTTATTTCACTATTTACTCATTAGAAAAAGAAAAGGAAAGGAAAAAGAAAGTGTACTATATACCCACTGTATTCCAGGCACTGTTCTAGGCACAGGGACACAAACTTTATGAATTGTGGAAATAGTCACCATTATTGACAGTAACTATTACCCTTAGTTTATGTTGTTTCTTGAATTAGTCATTAGCTAGAAAATATGAAGCTATCATCATTGCTAAGACATATAATAATAAACCATACTGAATATAAAGAAAAGTATCTAGTTTTTGCAGCATCCTTAATGTTGTTTAATACTCAAATCAGCACTGAACTTTCATGAATCTTGAGAATAAATGATTTCTTTAAAAATGAAAAATAAAATGTCCTATAGAAGTAGTAAACACACATTCTTCCTGTAGCAATAAAAATGACTGAAATAAGTTATGGAAAAAAGTGTCATGACGAGTTGACATTTATTTCTTTATTAGCATAGATGACACAGAAAATATTATTAAAGATTCAAACATACAAATGTTAGATATTTTGGAAATTTGTTATACTCTTTGGTGAAAGTTTACAGATTTCTAATAATTCCCAGTTCACAATATTTGCTGGATTCTATTTTAATAAAGAAATACAAAAAATTATTTTATTGTGAACCACCAAAAAAGAAAAATATATGACAGCTATATTTGCAATGATAAATGATTTCTTAAATTTACTAACTTTAATTCATGAGCATTCTCATATGCAAAAGTTATGAAACAGAAAAGAATATAAGGTAAAAATAATATCTTCCCATGTGGGTCTCACCTTTTCCCTCAGCCATCCATAGACAACAAATATTATTGGCTACTTTGGTGTACTTTTCCAGAAATAATTTATGTATACCCAAGGAAGTATGCATTCACCACTTTTTATTCAAATATTAGCATGTTTTACGTGTTGTACTGCAACTTGATTTTTTCAACCCATGCATGTGTATGAATTATTTGTAGTAATTTCTAGAGGTGAATTAGTAGAGTCATAGACATGTGGATTTGGAAATTGGTAGAGCTTTTTAAAATGGAGATCTTGTTTTCTATAGAGGTTGGAATAATTAATTCTACTGAGACCAGTGTATATAAATGCCTGTTTCCCTCCCTATTCTTTGGACAAAGCAGTTCATTAGGGAATTTTTAGATCTTTGTCAAAGGGTTAGATGAAAAATAGTATTGTAGTGTAGATTTAAATTAACTTATTTAGTAGAAACAATGTTTTATGGCAGGAATGTTTTGACAAGAATTTTAAACAGGTTTCTAAATAAGATGAGATTATTGTGTGAAATTCATTCACAACATTTGGAGACATTCATTTAATAGCAAAGAAGTCAAGGCTAAGTTGCATCGCAGTGCTTGTATGACACGGATTTGGCCACTTGCAGGAAATCAAGCTCTCTCAAATAAAGAAAAATCTGCAACACTGTGATGAAGTGACAAGTAATCAAAGAGACTGTGAAAGTGCTAGTTATCCACTGTCATTTCATGGCAAAAAAAGCTTCTGAGGTATCAAAATTAAAAATGAGTTTGTACTCACTTACCTACTTATTTATTCATTTATTTATTTTGCAGAAGGGTCAAAGAGGCTTCTGCAAAAGCTCTTTGTTGTGGCTGAGCCACTCTGGTGGGCCCAGCCACACGCTGTCTCCTGGTAGAGGAGGGAAATCTCACGCCCGTGGGGCTCAGCTAGTATTGTGGAGGGACTCATCATAGATCTGAGGGATGAAGGGGCTTAGATTTGGGAAACACTGGGGTGGATCTCTCTTCTGCTGGTGGGAGATTTAAGACACCCTGCTGTTGTGTTTTTCCTCCAGTGCCAGATACCAAACCAAAATTACTTCCTCCCACCACCTTTCAGATTTCTCATTTGGTTGCCTCTTGTGTTACTTTCAGGGTTTATAGTTGAATTTAAAAGGTAGGGAGAAAAAGGTCTCTGTCATCTTTTCTAGTTCAGAGTCTCATATAGTGCATTCAGTAATACTATTAATAATTTAAAATTATTTTACTTATTAATTTCATCTGTGTCTTATTTTATGTGTATTTTTACAGATTACAAAATGCGGTAGTATAGTTAGATTGTATGTATAGATTTTACAGTCGTCCCTCATATCACTGGTTTCCATATGGCAGATTCAAGCAATTGCAGATCAAAAATATTTGGAAAAAAACAATTAGGATATTAAACAATTAAAAATAATACAAATAAAAAATACATTTAAAATAATACAAGTAAAAAACAATACCTTATAGCATCTATTTACATAGCATTTACATTTTATTAGGTATTATAAGTAATATAAAGATGATTTAAGGTATACAGGATGATGTGTGTAGTTTATACTCAAATATTATATGCCATTTTATATAAGGGAATGAACATCTATGGAGTTTGGTATTTATGGGGATCCTGGAACCAATTTCCTGCAGATACCAAGAAAGACTCTGTGTATACATATTCTATATTATATATACATAGATGGTGAATAATTATTCTCAGATTGAGATATATGAGTAGAAAACTTGAAAATTACTGTATTTGGGTAGAATGAGAAAACAACATATATGAGTTTTCTCTAACTTTGAAATTTCCTTCAAATTGTAGAGTGCTAAAAATTCTGAACCTTTTATTTTAGTAGATCTGTTTATGTTGGGTAAAATTTACAAAAGTTATAATTTCCACTAACATCTCTTATTTTTATAATAGACCACTTTCAAGATAATTGTCAAGTAGACACGTGGCCTTCTCTGAAAAATGCCCACTTCTAGATGCTCAGTCCCAGTAGGCATGTTTGTTTTATGGGACACTTTACCCCTTACTTCACAGGGCAGTGTTTTTTAACCAGAAGTGATTTGCCCCACAAGGGACGTTTGATAATTTCGGTTGTCACATCATGGAGGTGGGGTGGGAGGGATTATCTTCTGACACTAGTAAAGTAGAGACCAGAGATGATGCAAAATATTCTACAATGCATAGGAAAGCCTCTCCTACCCCTACCCAAACAAAGCAATAGTCAGTAGAAATACAAAATAGTACTGAGGGTTGAGAATCTTGTAATGTGGTAGATAATTGACCAGGCTGGGCCAATCAGATTCTCTCTCCAGAGAATTTAGATTTGGGATCCAGAAGTGTTGGTTACACAACCTTAGAAACTTGAACCTGAAGAGATGTTAAAGCTAATTGAGGTTTCCATTTTTGAATCATGTATGTTAATAAGAAGCAGAAAGAACCAATTGTCAAAGACACTAAAGAATAAAGCAGTCATACAGAGAGTTGAGGAAAGGAAGAATAACAGTTTTTGACAATGTTTACCTCCTAGTTCTCTGTGTTTCATGAGGTCTAGCCACACTTCTGTCCTTAGATGCTGTAAGAAACATGATGTTCTTCTAGCATATTTGAATGGAGTTTTATTACTTGCCATCAAATGTAGGTGGGAGGAAATCTTGACTAAGAAAATAATCAAGTTATAATTCATGTATCAAATCATCAGACATGAAGTTACTTAATTCAACTAATTTTTTAGCATAGAAGCTATCCTTTCTATAATCTAAAATTGGTTTAATGGTCACTGTGCTTACTACACAAAGCATACCAAATTTAAACTCAACAAACACATGTACCTAATATACACAAATACAAATTTTATTTTATTTTATATTATTTTGTTTTAGAGACAGTGTCTAACTCTATTGCCCAGGCTGGAGTTCAGTGGTACAATCCTAGCTGACTGCAGACTGCAGCCTCAAACTCCTAGGCTCAAGCAGTTCTCTCACCTTGGCATCCTGAGTTGCTGGGACTGCAGGCACGTGCCACTGCACTCAACTACCTTTTTTTTTTTTTTTTTTTTAATAGTGACAGGAGTCTCTCTTTGTTGCCCAGGCTAGTCTTGAACTCCTGGCTTCAAGCAATCATCTCTCCTTGGCCTTCCAAAATTCTAGGATTGCAGGTGTCAGCCACCACACCAGCCAAATTTTAGAATAGTATACAAATTAACATAGAATTTTATTAAATATTTCCATTTTTAAAAGTCATATTCATAATATTTCTGTGAGTTAAAAAGGGAAGTTACATTAATCCCATTTTAAAATTGAGAAAATATAACTAGAGAAAATGATTAAAGGGTTAAATTTACACAGCCAATACCTGTAATTTTAACCTTAGTGTTCTGAAGCTAAAGACAACTGTTTCCCGGGTACCCTATTTTATAGCACAGGTTAGTAGTCGAGGATGTTGGATTTGAAACTAGCCAAAAGATACAAATCCCAGTTGTTTCCACTTTCTATCATGGGAAAATGACTTCATCTTTTAAAATATCATTACCATGTCTATAGAATGGACATAATTATACTTAACTGAGGGTTTTGTGTGTGTGTGTGTGTGTGTGTGTGTGTGTGTGTGTGTGTGGCAGGGGGTGGAAGGTAAGGGGCACAATGAAATTCAATACAACAAAGCAGTTGAAGGGCTTAAATAATTTTTAGCATGTCCAAAACCCAGTCAATAATAGCCGATATGATAATAAACTAAAAAGGATACTGTTATAAAACTTACCCCAATTTGAATCTGAATGAATGGATGTGCAAGGCAAACTGCTGTAGACTAGTTCCACCTTGTGAAGTCTACTGACACCTGGTGGC